GTTGAATTTCATTGATAAGGTTTTGATTGGCTAATAGTTTTAAGCTCATCTGAAGTAGCCAATCAAATCGATTTAAATTCCAACGAGAAACCACAACACAATGAAATTTCACTCGAAAGCACAATATAAAGTCTACAATATTTTTGAAAGCGAAAAAGTGTACTAGACCTGCTTTGTCCATCTCGTGTACATCACCCAGATCATTCGAACGTGATTACGACGTGAATATATATATATATATATTTCAAATACGAACTACTACAACATTATCCAAAGGATAGTTCCATTTGTCTTATATATATATACATCTAGTAATATTATGCTTCCAACAACAACAAATAGCCGTGTCACACATATATATATATATATATGATTGTATAGGTCGAGACGACGTGGTGCTGACCACACGGTCGAAACCTGACAAACGCAAGTGGATCACCCATCTCGAGAACGCGCTCAAGGGCAACGTGGACGAGCTCGACATCTTTTGTAGCGACGATTGGAAGTCCAATATTGAGGAGTACCAGGGCCTGCGCCTGGCGGTAGTCGATACGATGGAGAAGCGCGCGGGGGAGCTGGCGGCGGCGGTCGTCACGGGCGGTATCCGCGCTGCATGGCCGTTGCTCCATCTTTGCGACCTCATTCAAGCCATTGTGGGCATGCAGTCTAAACGGTATCGCAGATGATATACCATATCTCACCCGGCACTGTATATATATTATATATGTACATCATACAAGTTGCGAGTGAGTTTTATGGGTCGGGATTTTGTAAGGATTTATATATATATGTACGATTAGAGGGATGCATTTGTATGTTTATATTAGATATATATATATATATATATATATATATATGTATACATGGAGGATTGATTGATGTGGGTAGGATGTACCTAATGTCGGATACCCATTTCACTCTTTTCAATTCCACATTAATTCGATATGGTATGGTGAACCAGTGAATTTGATTGGCCACTTGATTCGTGCGGTGGGTTTTGATTGGTCGCTCGATTATCTGCATTGATTGTGTTTATGTTGCTGCTCCTTCAATGCACCTCCCCACTCCAAACTAGTCGAACAAAATTGAATGGACAAATATTATGATTTTTTATCATGATTTGAAATATATACATATATGTACACATGTAAAAATTATATATATATATATCCTTGTAGCATGGACGCCATGCTCGTATCGTGTGGTCTCGTGGATTGGCTCTTGGACTCGTACGCGACCGTCCACACCAGCTGGATCCTCACGCGGGTGTCCCAGATCGTCGTATTTTACCTGAGCGATCCCAACTGCAAACGCAGCCGCAACTGCCCCGTGGTCGGCCACGTCATGGCTCAAGGCCCAGCCAAACTCGCTCGGGGGCCAACTGGGTTTACGCAGTGCGTGTACGAAACCATCGACCAGTGCTTGCAGTACGTTGTGTGCGATATATATATATATATTGGTTGAACTCAAACGGGATGTTTGTAGTATCTGTTTACAATGACATAATGTTTGGGCTTAATATACTGTGTATTCAAAAGGCGTTTGTTATTCATGGTTTGATTGTAGCTGCCCACACTCGAACAGTTCGCTGCGGGTCGGTCAGCTGGCCAGCGACAGCCCAGCGTGGATGGACGTCCTGCACACGCTCGAGCCGTCGACGGAGCCGCCGCATCCGTCCACGATCCCCACCATTTTGAAGTCCGCCACGTTTTCCCGCCCCCCAGCGTTTCAAAAAGGTATAAGGATGTGTGTTTTCGTCGTTAATCAAAGTATATATTTATATACTATTTCATGTGGATTTCTATGGGTTGTTGATATTTTTTGAACCTGATACATAATATATATATATATATATACTAGGACTTGTTTATGCAGTGCTCTTTGGTATATATATATGTATATATAATGGATTGCTTTGGTTTGTTGTTAGGACCTAATACATGTATATGTTTATGAAATGCTCTTCGGTTGGCAGATATTTTGACCCAATATATATATATTTGTACAGGTTTATGAAGTGCTACTCGGTTGATACCTATTGTGGACCTACTATCTATCTATATACATATATTTATTTATTTATGGAGCGCGACATGGTTAATACCTATTTTGGACCCTGTATATATATATATATAAATATATATATATTCTGATCGATCTCTATGTGGTTTTGTAGATATTTTGGATCTGCTGGCGCAACCGTCGTTTGCGTCGTACGACATTGGGTCGTCGTTCCTTGTCGGCAACGGCTGTGTGTTTGGGTACGTGTTCCCAATCCGATCGATCGTAGAAAATATAGTATATTACTCTCTTTCCCTCCGTTTTGATATATATATATATTTCCTCCATTGACGAATACTATTATTATTAGGTACGTGTACAAGCAAGAGGGCCATTACTGGAAACGTGCGTTGGTCGTGTTTGAGCAGTCGTCGTATAAACTCTGGTCGTTCATTCCGTCGCAACAAAAGGCATATGCTGCTATCAAGTATGTCTGATTTAAATATATATATATCTATTAAATTTGACGTTTTATAGCTGGCAATGGATAATACCCACGGCCGTGGTACCGCACTTTTGCCAAGGCGAAGACGAACTGCACACGAGCATTGGACATCACGGGTTTGATGTGACGTCGGACGCCCAGCACAGCAACGTGACGTGGCAGTTCTGCACCACGGCACTCCACGAACGGGATGAGTGGCTCTCGGTGCTACAAACGGCCTCCGCAACCATCGCAGCCATCGGTACATTATATATGTGCAAAATCGCAAAAATCGCATTCGAATTTGTTATTGACTAGCGTCAAGCTTGAAACCTACAATATGATATATATACCCGTATTTCGTGTTAAGATATTTCGTATGTGTATAGAAGGTGCTATCGGTACGCATTATATATGTGTAAAATTTGTGTATGCAAAATCGCAAAAATATCATTCGAATTTGTTGTTGACTAGCGTCAAGCTTGAAACCTACAATATGATATATATACCTGTTTTTTGTGTTAAGATATTTCGTATGTGTATAGAAGGTGTTGCCGAGGGATAAACCGAAACGAACGTGATGTATAACTGGAAATGTTGTAATCGAATTGCCAAATTGATTCGATTCTGATGGCGATTTCGCTCTCATGAATATTAGTTCTATTTTAGAAGATTTCATTGTTTTTGTCTAGAATTTTATATTTATGTCGAACAATTCGATTGCATAATATTGGTATGGGTATGTATGTTGCGTATTAGATGGATTTATCGATTTATCCATGGAGTTATATCTCATGCCGTGTTGGTTGATACCTTTCTATGTGGCTTGGAACGTACTTGAATTGATATTTGCGATTTGATTGGACATGTTTAGTCTCCATATATGTATCATCGCTGTTGAAGCATTGTAACCAAGTTAGAGAATATATAGAATAGGTCGATGATACATGTTGACACATGATTCGTTATATATCGTTGTGTTTGACTGATTTTCTATCTTTTTATATACTAGCGCAACATACAGTAACGAGGGCTCCAAAAGGCGGATCCAGTCGCGAATGTGTGACCTGCCACGCCGCGTTTCATGTGTTTCGACGTCCGCATCCATGTCTTCGCTGCGGCAAAACAATGTGCTCGAAATGCTCCAAGGTCATTTATAACTATATATATATATATATAATTCTAAATCACAACGAAAGTGAAACGTAACCATTCTGCCGAGAATCGACCACGAGTATTGTTTGCTTATGCGCATGGACTACCTCGTATATAATGTATATATATATATGGTTGATTCGGTGAAAGATATATATATATATATCGTTGATTATTCGGATGACGGATATCATATATCTACATACGGTTGATTCGGTGGACTAATATATATCCATATGTATATTTGGACTGATGTGTAGACGTTTACGAAGCCGATTCCAGAGATGGCGATCCACACCCCCGTGTGCCACTGCCAAGAATGCTTTGAAGCCACGGGGGGGGCCATGTCGGAGCTGTTCCCGACGCTCATCCACGGTGGCGGCCCCCCTCCGCATACCCCCAACGGCGGCGGCGGCGTCGGCGGGTTTACAGATGTGGACCGAGTGGGGCCGGACCTGGAGGGCATCAACACGTCGAGGCAGTCGGGGGGCTCGAAGCGCCCCGTGTTATCCATTGAAGTAGATGACGACCAAGGAGATGACGAAGTAAGCGATGTCACATATCCCACGACCCCGCTCGAAGTCGAGGACGATCCGTTCTTGTTTGCCCCGACCGTGACTCCTCTGGATATTATTACTACGCCCGCCAAATAGATAGATCCAAGAAAAATACAAGAATAAGACCCAGTGTGGATGGATGTACTACGTACGTTCACTTTCTTGGGCGACTGGGACGATTGTGTGTGTTTTTTGGTTTTATTCCAAACTTGGAGCAACGTTGTGGTGAATCGAACCAACTAAACTTTACTGCGACGCTTAAACTACGTCATTCCACGACTTTTCGAGTCAGTTTGTACTATTTTTCTATAAATATGGAGTTTCGCAAATTGGAGTAAAGCTCGTCTAAGAAAATAGCAAAATCCTTCATAACCCAATATTTTGCTTGATTACATTGTACAGGTTCAAGGACAATTGAAATATGGTGGAGCTGGCACTGAGCGAGGCTACAGTCAATCAACTGTACATGTGCTCCAACATATAATGCATGCACTCACTGTACACGGAGCTTGGAATTAACGGACGATTTACGTCATACATGTAAGAACTAGGCCACAGCCAGAACTTCCACCCGCTGGGGCTGGAGGTTGTTATGCAGCATCTACACTTGTATATATTTCACCATTGTACTACTAGTAGACGTTTTCGAGGTATCCCTACTACTACTACTACTAGCTTACCAACTGTGTCGGCGCCGATGTAAATGTGGCGTTGGAAGAGGCGCTGGAACTTGTCGCTGCTGCTTGCCGCGAAGGTCCATCCAATTCTTCCTCGTTGATGGTGCACGATTATGTAATCTCCCTGAATAAGCAGATGCCGTCTGCGCGGACGCACCGAACTACATGTACTGGTACACAAGCCCGCTCGATGAGGTTGGAATGCGGATATTGGGTAATACTAAACATTTGACTTGATTATTGTATGGTATCTTGTTTAAATCAATCAATCTGCATCAAGCTGCATCCCGTGATGCGCTTGACGAATCCATTGCACCAATTCAGATTGATCTATTGCGGTTTAGAAACGGATGAAAATCCCTATCACAATTACCAGAGTACTGTGTAATACGTACTATTCTTCGGGATGTACAGTACACCCACCCTCCACCAACTACACCATTTTGCAGTTAAGTTGGACGAATGCCCGGTATATTTGGTCGTGTGCCCGATATATTTGGCGATGTGCCCGATATAATTGGCCATGTGCCCGTTTAATTTGACACACGGATGTCGTGTGCCCGATATATTTGGCGATGTGCCCGATATAATTAGCCGTGTGCCCAAGTAATTAGCCATCTGCCCGATGAATTGTGTCGTGTGCCCGATGAAAATGGAATAACTAATAATAATTATATTCCATGGAGTGCAAAGCAGTTGTGGTGGAAACATCATGTGGTTGAAGTTCGGAGGAAAACGCGCGAAGGCAAGATAATTCGAAATTTATACTTGAATAAAGTAAAGTTTACAAAAATGTTTCGTCCATACTTGAACTCCGTTCAAAATTTGAATCTGTCGCGCGCAGTGCTCATTTTTCGATTTACCTCAAGGAACGCACCCATGATGGACTCGCGGAGGCCATGGGCAACATGCATGGACGTTGGTATGTGACGCCACAGCAACGATGCGGCATGTGTCCATTGACGACCATTTCTATATTGAATTGACTTTTTATTGCGTGATTTCCATTTTCATCGGGCACATGGCACAATTCATCGGGCAGATGGCCAATTACTTGGGCACACGGCTAATTATATCGGGCACATCGCCAAATATATCGGGCACACGACATCCGTGTGTCAAATTAAACGGGCACATGGCCAATTATATCGGGCACATCGCCAAATATATCGGGCACACGACCAAATATACCGGGCATTCGTCCAACTTAACTGCAAAATGGTGTAGTAAAAGGGAACAGACTCTGGAGTATTTTTTTTAGGCATATCGAACGTAAAACGTGTTTATTACATGTGGATATATATTAAGTCATACGGTGAAAATAGACTCAGTTTGAAACTTTGAAGCATCGCTTTAGCGCGAATATCAATATCCAGGATGTGTTTTAATCCCCATGTCATAGGTTTGGTTTTGCGCTGCTACAGTTTTCATGTGACATGTATATCGCTCACGTTGATGTAGCAATGTTAAGGGGTATATTTTTAACCTTCGTGTTTGTATGCGTATTTTTGTGTGCATACGAATTCAGAGGTTCGCTCGATATCGTACAATAGGCACATACTACGTCATAATGTGGCACTTTACGTTATAAACTCCCAGTTCCATGAGCATCCTCACTCATCTTTAAAAGTTCGAACCATCTCGATGCTGCCTTCCTTCTCACTCGACCACGAGCGCGTCGACGTGCTTGGTGTAGTACGCTACGTCTGTGATGGCGTAATATGGCTCGACTCGACGGAGGTACTTGAGCTTGGCAACTTGGAACGGCACCACTAGCCCCGTAACTGCATCGCGTACGTCCACAATGTGGGCTTCACATCTAGTTAATGTATTCCCCATCAAAAATTACGGCTGGAAATATATATTTCTAACCATATATATATATATTGGAACGTACTCTTCGACATGGTCGTCGAAAAAGACAGCCGGAACAGCACCGTCGATCAAGAGCAACTAGGATCACAATATGAAATCGATCAAGTTGACTGAACATTATACAAACACATCCATCCTAGAAAATCCGAAAGATGGATATATATATGTATGTGGTTGCATTTAAAAAATTTAATATATATATATATATACATCATGATAAATATATATTACCTTGCCGTACTCGGCATGTTCGGCGTGGGTACTCCACCACTCCCAATAGTCGCGCAGGGCAATCACCGATCGCGTCGACAGCATCGATTGAATGCACTGTTGGACAGCTTCAAACCCCCGAACTACCGATACCGCTACACATGCAACTGTGAGCAAATACCTTGGAAACTTGATATATCAAATATTAATATAATATTTCAATGACTCACCAGGATCAATGGACGCGTAGAACTCCACGGGGGTGGCGGCCGAGTTGGTGGATTGGAAAGGCACTTTCTGCAGCGTATTGAGGGCCAGTGCAGTGCCCGAGGCTTCAAATCCATCTAAAATCAGAGTATTCGTTAATAAAACAAAGCAAAAAAAAATCAAAATGCAAAAATAGGTCGTTAAAGTGCAAAAATAGGTCGTTAAAATGTAAAAATAGGTTCTAAAAATGCAAAAGAGGTGCGTACCGCGATAAAACGTAGCATACGGAGGTTCGAGTCGCATCGATGCCGACAATGCTTTCTATCGAACCGATCAATATATATATATAGATATATTACCGATAAGTTTTCAAGAAATACTTCAGATATATATATATATATATATACCCCTGGAAACAACGGATGGCGCCCATGGACGAGAAACTCAATTTCCTTGGCCACTTCGACAATATCGTCGCCAAATGTTCGAAACACCACGTTCACATCCACGGTTGCTACGCCAAGTGTTAATACATGGTCGTCAAATGTGAATTCAAATCGGACGGTGATGGTCCACGTGGAATAGCAAGTGCAGGAACGACGGGAGGATGTAGTAGCGGCCCTCGCTCCATGCTTCTTTGAGCCCGGAATCGGCCATCGTAGCCGCGGCTGCCTAGTGTAGTCGAGGGTGGAAGTTACGGCGATGGTTATGATGCATTTGGATCACCTTGGCGGCGTCGCGGAGCGGTCCCTGGGGAAAGAAGAGGCACGAGAGCACATGGTCGTAGGAAGCAGAGATGGGACGGCCCGGACCGCTTGTAAAGGCGGATTGTAGCGCCGTCCGCTTCTTCTTTTGAGCTCTACATGGAGGATGCATGTATCAATATCAGCTCCAAGAACGTGCGTGATGAGCAGACTTGTTGAAGGCCTTGACGTCGTTCAAGGCGTCCGAGGCTCCGTGCATGCTTTGGTATGGATACAACGTGTCGACGAACTTCTTGTACGTGACAAGGGACGGCGAGGGCGGCGTGAGAGAGGGTTCTTTCGACACGCAAATCCACTAGCAACACGTCAAGTCGTGGCGAAGGTAGCGTCAGCCTACCTCATTCCCTTGGACCTGGCCATAGGTGCACTCCGCGAGGAGGTAGTTGAGGGTGTTCTCCATCGACCTCCCTCCCGCCACGTCCGACATGAGGATCGTGCGGTTCAGGTCGAAGTGCAGCACGAGCTTCTTCATCATGTTTGTGTGTGAGCGGCCGCGTGATCGGGAAGTAGTGAAGCGTTGCCATTGGTCATCTCTCGTCCAATCATATGCGTTCCCCTTGGTGGTATGATTTGAGAAATACGTCAATATTAATACTGTAACACCAAAAATGTGAAAATACAGTACCGGAGTACTATTTTAATATTAAAACTATTAATATGAAGTCTTCGATGTACTAATAGTACACTACTGTACTTGTAGTACAGTACTATTAATACTATTACTAGCATTACTAGTAATACTATTAATACTATTACTAGTAATACTAGTAATACTATTAATAGTACTACCTCTGTTTGGTAACATATATGAAGGTCAAGATTCAGGTTCATACAAATATGAAGTATGAAGAATCTGAAGTTAAATAGATTTCGCAGTACCTTAGATGAAAATCATCAAGGGTTCGCATTTTTGTGGTGTCGAACCAAACATAAACATGCGATCTGAAAATCGGAAGTATTTTGACGAAACAAAAATGCGAATTCGACATATTTCGACGAAATAATAAAACTGCGATAAAGGAACGCAAACTCACTCGCCAGTGATAAAGAACGCAACATTTGCGTACTGTATGTAGCCTATCAAATACCATGGCATATACGAAACGTTGTAACTTACGGCATCAATTGAAACCGGTGAAGGTTCAACCTATACAACTGGGACTACTACCAAGACAGCTACCTACAGTACAGTGTACTATAGTAACAACTCTGTGTTAGCATAACTGACGTTGTCGGAACCATCTCGCTGCTTTGCTTGTGCGTAGAAACGTAATTCCGTTCGCTGGGCAACATAAAACATGAAAGTGCTATAGAAATGCCACAGCGTTCGAGATCCAAACTTGGTCCTATGTATGACATTATGGAGAAAGCGTATACGGCAGCCAATCAGAAATCGACATAGTCCATGGAATGTGCAGCAGCGAATGTTGCGCATGTTGCGAAAATGATTATGCGCAGCTTCAATCACAGTCGCGTGGTCCAGTGAGTAGTCATGGGGATAAAGAAGTTCTTGTAGAAAGAGAATCCATAGTTACATAGCACTGCGACTGTCTTGTGACTTTGCCGAAATGAACGTGACTTCCGTCAACAATGCATGCCTTGCCAGCCCCTTTGCCAATCTATCGACAGCCAAACTATTGTAACACATTCCGAGGCACACCAATCTAATCGACGTAGGTACTTTCCAGCGAGGTCCGAACCAGAACCTGAAGTTGGGTTGACAAAAACGAGAGTTGAATAGCAACGTTACTGTACTCGTATGCATGTAACAACGTGATGTTTGTGGATTCAAATGGGAGCGATCGGAGTCACCAGCACATGCCCGTTTGGTTGGTCGTGGATTTCCAAGTTCAGACGATTTGTTCACAGGACGACCTGCATTCCGTATAATCCGCTTTCATTTACTTGTTACAGATATACGAAACCCTTCTAATGGATTGAAAGCGGCATGTGATTGGCTACTTTCAACATATCATTCTCGTGGTACCCAGTCACGAATTTCTCGAAAGTCACACGGCGCGTGCCTTTGCCACGTGAGCTGGCCAAACTTTGGCGGCCAATCAGGTGGGTCGGCTATGCATCGAGGTGGCGTTGTCGACTTGCCTTGGCGCAAGTTAGGGTCAATTGTGCATTCTCTTCACCGTCCTAGAGCTACAGTAGTGTAGCTAGCTAACTACAAAGCCATGAGTAGCACCCACACCACCAGCCACGACCACCTTCACGGCGGGGACTCGTCCTCCTCCAATAGTGGCATCAGTGTCAACAACGACAAGAGGCATCCGTCCTCCATGATCGAAGCGAGGCGGGCCAGACGTCGGCATCGAAGCAAGATCAATCAGCGCAAGTACCGCGCATGGCAGCGCACAGCCAACAACCAGCTCCAGCACGATGTGAACGAGCTGCAGATCCACACCAAGCGACTCGAGTCCCATGTGTTGGCGCTGTACAATGGCGAGCGGTTCCACGCCGAAGAAAGCAGCGTGCAAGAGTATTTCCGGCTCTTTTCCGCTGGCTTTGACCGGTCCGAGCGGCAACTGACATTTTTGCGGTACTTTTTCGCTCCCAACGTGTGGTGCCTTGGCCAGGTATGTATGTCGTTGAAGCGAATGGATCCGATTTGAAAAGCAAAAACATACCACGGGCTTATAGTAAACGCTACAGTACTGTAGCATGGCGACGTCGACAAAGTGATCGACCTGTGGGAACGCATCACAGCTACGTTTGCGTCGCTCCGAGTCGAGTACCAGCACATCACTGGGATGTTTAGCCTTGCCGACGAAGTGAGCATCCAAGCCAAGGTGCTTGCCCACTTGAAGATGGCTCCCAGCGCCATGGACGTTGTGTTTCCCAACGTCGTGATGCGCCGTCCAGACTTGGCGCGCAAGTTAAAGGGGCAAGTGCTGGTGTTGCCGTTACACGTGACGTTCATCTTCGACGCCACCAAGCGCGTGGTGCGGGTGGACGTCGACGCGGACGTGTTCTCGGCCCTATTGGCGCACTTGGAAAGTGTCCACGACGTGGCAGTCGCGTTGGACGGCGCCAACTTTCGCCTCGACGCAATGCACCACAAGAAGGAACATGGCGTTCCCTGAATAATGCAACCAACTATTTATGGAACTTGTCACCGTTATTATGATTGGTTGACGTCGGTTCGCGCCGGCGTAATCAACTATTTTTAGTGGGTTGGCATCGGCAGTTATTGTCCTTCTACCCAAAATTTGGACTTTTGTGCTGATCCGTGAAATCTATCGATCGATTCTTTGTACTGAAGTTTATATGTAAAAAGTTGTGGTGATTGGAATCACTCTAATTTCTGGCACACACTAATTCGATGTTGATGGTGGTTTCCTGCAATCTGATTGGCTAAATCCTTCTGTGTGTACATTAATGCAATGTCGCCATCCTAATCGACACTTATGGTTGTGTTTCCGGAGCAGCACTTTCTATGGCGGGCTGAGACTGGAGTCCTTCCAGTCGATCAGGACCTCTTGGTTGCTTTCCTGGCGAGCTTGTACATACATACATACTCCTCCCAGGTATGCGTCGCCTTCCGGACACTCTTTTGCCATTTCCGCGTCATCCCTTCCTTCCCCCCTCCTAAAAACTCGCACTCCGGGGCGAGTGTTGATCCGGGGCGTCCGCAAAATTTTCATGGAGTTCGGTACCAGGGTGGCCATGGCCACGACATCTGCAGGTCGGATCTTGACAACCGAATCCGACCTGCAAATGTGAGTATTTATAGTATATTTATCACACAAGCTCGTGGAAAGGCCGAGTTTTGCGCATAACGTTAACGTTATACGAAAATAAAAAAGTAGAGTCGATTTGGACAAACGTATGGTGCACGTCATACTAAAAACTTCCAACTGGCCAAATCGAGGAGTGGAGGTTTTATTATTTAACGTACAATTAATGTAGTTAAACCCAAAAACAAAATACGTTAAATACCGATTTCATGCGTTTTATCACTGCAGTGGGAGGTTAAAGGTCCCAACTGCCTCCGGATAATATATACGGATAAGAGTCACATACAAAAATCAAGATACATCTCAGCGGCCACCCCTATGGCCAAATATCCAAGCGCCCATGTAAAATACCGCTATGTTAAATATCTATTTCTGGACCAATTCAACACCAAATTTGAATCTGAGACGTAGAATTTCTTCATTACATTGAGATCTGTCGATTCTACGTCTCAATTTGCTGAAATTTTGAGTAATGAATATGAAATAGAAGTCAGAAAATTTTGTGAAAAGTTGGTAGTTTATAGATGACGTGCACCATACTTGCACATTGCATTCCGTATACTAGTAGTGTATATGTATTGCGACAGGTGATATTTCACAACCGCCGACACTCGTTCTCAAAAGTTTGTTAATCCATTGCGTCATACAAATTTGAAGTAAATTCAACGTATTCACAAGTAAATATCGGTTATTACAAGAAAAATATCAGTTATTACAGGAGTCGCAATCGATTAATCCGTCGCAATACAAATACACTATACGGTATAATACGGTGTAAATGTTTTCTGCCGCCTGTTAGTTATTGTGAACCCGAGGATACTGTAGTTATAGTAACGTTATTAGCAGGCAATTTCAGTCACAGTCACATACTGCAATTCGATGTTGCATCCATTTTGTCTGCCGATTTGGTGCTGCGCATAATTTCGAATCGACTTGACAATAATATTACAGTGCCTTCAACCAACTCTGTATGTGTATTTGAATTTTGTATGCATAGTGGTACATCATACCAACAAATTTAAATAAAATTCATTGCGTCAAGTTTGTTGGGTGAGTCCACAGAACTACCTAATTGGCTGAAATATTACTATTTTGAACCAGTCATTTACGTTGAGGTGCATTTTCCCAACTTCCAGACAAATAAAAGTGTGGATGACTTTCAAGATAACGGAATGCAGTGGCACTGTACATTGCAAGACGTGTGACTGCATGGCTTCATGCTCAATACTACAGTATAACTGCGGCTACCGCTGCTGACTTTGCACACTCGCATTCCTTACCCCATGTGGATTGAAGACGCCATGATAGGTTTCAGGACATGTTATTGCTAAGAAAGCCACTGTTGGTCGATCCAATGGTAACTGCACCAGTAAGTACTTCACACAATCGTACATCTATCAAACACTACAGGGAAGCACAACACAGTAGAATGACAGTCGCTTCTCTTACTCGTGCGACGGTTGGTTGCGTTCAAACACTACAACCTCCCATACATATGCGATCGTTCGAGTAAAATGCACCCAGATACTGAAGCCATCCCTCTCATTCACAAACTCCAACACACAATCTAATGAACATTTCCCGGGGTTAACAGTAAGCGTATCTCCGTGGTTAGCGATAGCTATCCACTGGTGATGCGCTTAACCCTGGGGATACTACTGAACGTAACCTTATAAAAGACAAGAGCCAACCGCAAGTTCAAGTGTGCATTGCTGTCCACACGCAATTTAAGAAGTCACGGGGGTTCGTGCCTTATTGATTACTATATCGTGGCGTGCACTAAAGGTACGTACAGGGGAATTCAGAATGTAAGGCCTACTTTTACCTTCTACTTTTCGACATCATCTGATTGGTTACTGTACTTCGAAGTTCGGTTTTCATTTCGACCAATGGCATCCGGGTAGTCAAAATAATATTCACAAATCACTGTTGAAATTATTTAAATTTTGGAGGAGATTAAATTATGCGTCAACTTTTGATGTGTTTTATTGTCGAAGTCAAATTCTTGCATTTTGGCCATTTAATTGTATCTGTCTAACGTCGATCATGACATCAAACAGTTGGCCTCGCAGGGTCACTCCGGATCATGCCATTGGGCAGGATACCTGAATTGGACGCAGCTACCACCACGTCGTCCAAGTTGCCAAACTGGCGGAATAGCGCATCCACGAGATTCGAGTCGGAGGCCTGCCACGTAACCTGCTTGTTGTCGTCAAACATGTACGTGGCATGCACGTGCAGACGCAATGGGGCGGTGAGCATCTTCTCCACGAGGTCTTGGCGGTGGAGGACCTGGGGAAACACTGTGCGAATAGACTGCAACGACAGACCTAGCTCGGCCATGCATCGCATGTCCACGATCACTTCATCTCGCGAGTGGCTCACAGGATTCAGCTGCACGCACTTGATGTGAAACGACGAGAACGTCGTCGTGTAGTTGGTCCAGTGCAAAAGCAGCGCGTCCAGACCTCTCTATGGGGATGGTTCACTCGAACGTTATCGCATAAAGCATGTGTGTCATCCAGGCTGATTGGACGGATAAGTGGCCACACAAGTGCTCTGTACACACACACACATATATATATATATACATGTGATCATGTGTAGACACCACAGTGGATTGCGTTTGCTTTCTTACGTGGCCATTGCACCACGAGTCGGGCTCGATAAAGTTTTGCAAAAATGTATCCTGGCGCGGAGATTGCGTGTATCCGTGCTCAAATAGCCGAAGATATTCCAACAGAGACTGCTCTTCTGCATGGTACCACAACCCGCTGCGCTCGATGGCGGCGATGTGTCCTTCAAGCCGCTGGTTCACGCGGTCCATCTCTTCCATGTCCACGCGCCGTTGGCTATTGGTCATGCGCAAGTTGGCTCGGTACCTGCGCTGATTGACTTTACACCTCTGCCGGCGCCTCTCTAACCGTACTTCGTCTGTCGCCGCCGCTCGAGCGGGCATGTTGCACGAGCGTCAAGGTGGAATTGCACGAATCGCAAGATATATAGTGGCGTTATCGGGATCTCAGCAACGAAATGATTAGGTGCAGTTTGCGCATAGTAAACAAAATCCGATAACTCATCGGCGTTATCCGGATGACTTGCGGGGCATCGAGCTCGAGAGTAGGATGTACAACTAACGTTAGGTAGTATGTACAGTGTACAGTGTACTTACTATCAAGTACTAACTGTAAGTAGGGTCATGGGGTGTCTGGAGGTCGAGTGGGGCAAAATGTTGGGCCTGGAAGGGTGCTGATTCTCGAACGATGTGCTATTGAACCCTGCAGAGTTCAGTTGTCCAGAACAGTAACCGTTGCCTGCTAGTACGTTGTATGGGGCCAGGGTGATGGTTGGTGTGGGCTGATGAGAGGTATGATATCGTACTGTGCAGTGTACAGTACAGTAGTATGTACAGTAGTCAGTTGTCAGCTGGACCACCTTACCCGTATAACGTCATACAGTACTGTAAGTCTTTCTTTACTGTTACTATAGTACAGTAGATGATTTGTCATGTTTGAATAAATGTGACGAGACAATTTGATAAATAATGCGAGGTTTTTACACAGGTTTACAGTTAATACAGTACATGGTTTTCTGCAATCCATATTATTTGATACAGGGTATTCGATATTAGTGGAATATCTCTCAAACATTACTGCAAAAATTACAAACGGATGCATGAGAAAGAGCAGGTTATAGAATACCACATCTCAGGCAATAGAAATCAAAACAATACTACGTAGTACTATAGGCGTATATATGATGGAATTACAGCCAAATCACATGTGATTATTGTTGCTCAGAGTTTTTTGGCATTTATATAATAACCCCAGTGAATTAGCTAAAACACCAAGTCTTTATTCAACTTTGTAACACAGTTACAGCAGACGTACCACTGTATTAGACAGATTTCGCAAACGTCAGTTCTATTTTATCCGCAACCTATCCTCTCAAATTCGATAAGGATAGATCTGAACCTGTTATAAATAATTAAAGCCGCTGTAAAATTTGCCAATTTTGCAGCGGATACCCCATTTGCGTGTATCCGCATAAATGGTGGGTTTTCTGGTGTAACCGGATGCGCTTGTTTGATCATACCATCCACGTCGACAGCCTTGGGTGGCGAGGTAAACGCATTAACGTTAGAGTCTCATGAGCACGATAATAGCTGCATTGTGAATTCGGTGGCGAGGTAAACGCATTAACGTTAGAGTCTCATGAGCACGATAATAGCTGCAGTGTGAATTCGGTCTACAGTTATAAACTACCAACATTCTTGTGGTCTATTACTCAATATAGAATCACGCTCTGATTGGCTGAATATTCTTGTCTTTTCTGTAACAGCCAATCATCAGATCCCCTCAATTTTGGATTCGCTAATAGCGTCGCCGATTCGACGGGGTCTGGACATTTGTACCGAATATACCACAATATTCCTATGAATACTACCAAGACATTATTAATACTACCGTAACGTTGGTACAGTTCGTCATGTAGTGTGGTGTACTCCAACATGGTAACACCAACTTGTACCTCTGCCGCCATGATTAATATTAACAAAATCCAGTTAAAACCACGACGATATTCGCTTTAACGACGAGTTTGCACTCGCGTTCGTTTGTGGTGGAGCTGCTGCTGGTGGTGGTGTTATCTGGGCTGGAGGTACTAGTACTACTACAGGGGCTTCATCGCGACCTCCTGGGTGCACGTGACCGCTGACTTTGAACTTGCAAAGGACGCATGTAGTGGCTTCTTCAATTGCCGCCGCCGAAGATGATGATGCTAATTCGTGATGGATCTCCAGCGATGTTGATGATAAACTCGCCCCCGTGACGTCAGCCACACTTGGCGACGACGACTGACGGTGGTTGTGCCCGGGAACGCTCAACCGGCACAACACACAATCATCCGGTTGTCTGGCCTTGTCAACCGGATCACAACAGTCTTCGATCACTTCTTCGGGCAAAACAGCCAAGCCCTGACGTTTAGCACCTAGCCCCCGATGAGGGCGTGGGGTACTGTCCTGTATCGGCACATTCTTAAACCCAGGGAATAGACCTTCTTGGGGCAACACGGACATGGTGATGCGGCGGGACAGCGCCGTGCCGGCCGTGGCGATGCTGTAGTTGGGGATCGTCAGCTGGGAGTGCGCGCCTGGGCTACTACTTGACAGAGCGCTGGCAGCGGCAGCCTTTTGGCCTCGAAAGCAGTACTTCATGGCTCGAATGGTGGCCGACACCACAGGCCGCACACGTAATGTTTCTACTCGATAAGAATTAATCAAAACGAGCAACCCAGTCAATATCGAAACTCCATGAACGATTCGGGTGGGAATACGAGTAATAATTATATATATATATATAT